CTCTGAGGCGGCCGTGTCCCCTTCCCTCCTCTTGGCATGGCTGTCTTCGTAAAGTCAGACCTGCACAACAGGCGAAGGAGACAACAGCCACACGTTGGGGTAAGCAAGCAGGTGATAATCAGAGCAAGCTCAGACCAGACCACACTTATGCAGCATGCATCCTTCCTAACCTACACACCCTGTTACTTCTATTCTAAAGGCGGTCAGGTCATCTCTCTTACCTCTTCTCTCGCCACAAATTTCTTCAGTTGCGTTCCAGATACCTAATTCTTCCACTCAGTCCCATTTAACTCCTCGATCTGGTACACTCCGAAGTCTCCGACCCGTGCGATTCGGTAGGGACTTAACCATCTCTTATCGAGCTTCTTGGACCACTGCATCTCTAGCGATGTATCGTAGAGAAGCACGACATCCCCGACTGCCAAGGGTAYTTTCCTCACTCGCGCAGACTGATCCCATCGGGCCTTATCATCCATACGGCTTCTCGCCACCTGATTAGATGCCACCTGGATCCTTTCTTCTATCGCCCCGACCTGCCGCGCCCGAATATCGAGCAACTCTTCAAATGACAGGTTAACTTCCAGATCCTGGCGCCTCCATGTCTTAAGAAAGCTTTCGATAGGGAAGGTGGCATGCCTTCCGTACCACAGCGTCGCAGGCGCGTACTTGGTGGATCTCTTTACTGTAATGTTCTCGACAAAGAAAGCCGCCCTTAGGTATCTTGGCCATTGATTAGGCCTACCTTCGGTCCATTTGGCCAGGAGATTCGTAATGGTACTATGTCCTCTCTCTACGGGAGCATTTGCCTGGGGGTGCGCGGCCGTGGTGTAGTTGGCTGTCACACCATACCTTGATAACTGTTCTTGCACCTCCTGGCAGGTAAATTCTGATCCCCTGTCCATTACGAATTCTCTGACGAAAGGATAACGCAGGTAGTACTCCTCGATGCAGCTCACCAGGACCGACCCGGTCTTTGTGCGAATAGCACGCCTGTCTACGAACCCAGACAGGTTATCGCGCGCATCGAAGATATAGTTATAGCCTTGATCCCCAAGTGGCATAAAAAGTAGATCGAGATGCACTACAGCCCCCACCTCTCGCTCTAGCCTGGGATGCAGCGGCTCTCCTTGCCTCAAACGGGATCTTTCCTGGCAAGGTACGCAAGATCGGCAGAACTTTCCGACCATATTCATCATCCCATCCCAGTAGTACAGCTCACTTATCTTGGCATACGTGGCTTGTACCCCTCGATGTCCTCCTGCAATACCATCGTGAAGCGCTGCTACGACGTCGATCTGACGATTCCTACCGCAGATGACTCTCCTGAGATTCCCCACTTCCCTTCTCACGAAAAGGTGACTATCTCGCACTAAGTAGCGCTGCAGCATCCTTTGAGCCCTATCGCTCGCATATCTTAGCCGCATTTCACATGACAGAAGAAGCCCCAGCTCTAGGTAGATCCCGTCATACTCCTCTGCACAAAAAACTTCCTTAATTTCCCCTTCTTCGAACTCGTCGTCCTGGCTCTCGGGTATTTCGTCCACATTCCCTGTTGGGTTCAACGAGCCTGACTGGTCTAGGCTTTCCTGCAATAACGTATTGACGAGGAGATACATTCCTCCCATCAGGTCCTCATGCCGTTCTACCTGGCCAGGTCCTTCCTCAATCGTCCTCATATCCTCCACCAGGCTATGCGAGCTGGCCAGCGCTAATTCCATCATCCACGGAACATCCTTACCGCCCCAGGGATCCTCTTCTTTAAAGGGTTTGAGGACTAGCTCGGTCCTCCTTTCATATCCGCTCGGCGCTTGCCAAATAAGATAGCCTACACAGCTGGGCACTCGCGGCGACCACTTATTGATATGGAGACGAATATCTTCTTCCTGATCCAGAAATCCATCAACTCGGGGCGTATTCTCCACCGCCTCCCCTTCCTGCTTATCCCAGTTGATCCGACTCAGTCCGTCTGCCCGGTTCTTACTACCAGGAATCCGTTCTAATTCGAAATTGAACATCCAGATGTACGTTAGCCATCTGGCAATCGTCGGATCCGATGGAGCGTAATTCCTTAGAGACTAGGTCAGGGCGGTCGGATCCACTCTCAAAATAAATCTCCTGCCGAAGACATAGTTTCGGAAGATTCGCAGACAGTGGAGGACATCAAGGGTCTCCCTCTTGAACTGAGAGTAGTTCCTCTCTGTCGTACTGAGAGTCCGACTTTCAAATCGCAAGGGCCTTTCCTTTCCTTCCATGTCTGCCTGTATTTGAACTCCCCCTAAGGCGGTCGGTCCCGCATCCGTTTCGACAATGAAGGGTCGCGTCTCTGTGGCGTCATAATCCGGCGCTCCTAACACCAACCCTCCTTCTCGGAATTCCTCTTTCATTTTTGCCACCACCTCTTCTTTTTAAGTTCCCTGGCAAAAGAAAACAAGCACATCTCCTTTATTCAACACTATACCTTGACCGGTCTATTCCATCCGTCCTACCTAGCCCTTAGTACTTAATTTACCCAATGTTAACACGATCGTCCCTCATACTTCCTCTACCTGGGTAGGTAAATTTCCTCACCTACACTTAGTCATTCATTTATTCCTTCATTACCTTCTCATTACTAATTTATGCCTTTTCTTATTCACTTCTCATACCCGGATGTCGTTCCACCAGGGACAACGGTAGGCTTTCCGTTGTCCCCGGCAACGGCGCCACCTGTCGAGCGCATCGGTCCGACACCGCACGGGGGCAGCGCGGGACCCTCCCGGCCGCGTCACGCAGGAGTTGGTTTTTAGAACCCTTCGTCGCAATATACATTGAGCTTCCACAAGCCGCTCCGGCCGGGTGCGCCAGCCATACCTCTCGCGAGCCCCTACGATAGGATAGGGCCTACGCGAGG